TCTTCCGGAAAGTGTCTGTATGAAAGACTAGGAGTGACTTCGATGAGACCATTCTATATTCACCTATAAGAATTGTCTGTGCTACGGCGAATCGAGCAAAACGCCCCTGGCTGGTCTACCTCTGCGATTGCATGTAAAAGCTTTCGTATGTAGATCAATAGCTAGGTAGGGATACGCCTCTGAGGATGGTGACAGCTCCTCAGGGAAGACGAGTTGTGCCTCGCGGGACCCTGACCTGTGGAAGGGGAACGCGAGAAGTACGACTGGCGCACCCGGCTAGAGCGACAAAACTCCGTCGTTCACCTCGATGAATTTTGGGGGAAACATTCCGCCTCTAAAAAGAAAAGTATCAAACTCCTGCGTGATGCGGTCGGGAGGTCCCCCTTTATGCGCTGCGATGTGAAGGGGGGGCCGTTTGCGTCCGACAGCGTCAACGGCTGGGAGTTCGATTTCGGATTGATCAAATGATACTGCTGATTTTGACCATCATTGCGAGCTCCTCAGCTGCATCGAGGAAACAAGGCCCTCTCACGGGAGTCTGAGAGCACCTCCCTTGGATCTGAGAGTCTCAAACTTACCTTTTTCTGCTCTTCTGACTCTCAATCTAGCCTATTGGTTACGAGAGGAAGGCGGCAGGCGGGATTGCAACCCATAGGACCTCATCAAGACTATGTGGGGAGTCCACCCACCGATTGCGGGAGCTTTGTCGAAATCTAAGCGAGATTCTGGAGGCAGAGAATTGATAGATATACCTTTCTTTATCTGTATGACCCCATATTACCCCTGTTTGACTACTTCCCTTTAGTTTGACTGAATGTATGCATGTGTTTCCCCTACGATTTTAATTTTGTTCAGGATTAATCGAACTAAATAGAAGGAACATGTGTGAAAAACTTAAGTTTCTCTTTGTTTTGACTGAAAGCAGATTAAGGGATGAACTAAGGGAAGGTGGGAGGAATGCAGATTGCATGTGTTTCACCGGATCAACCAAGGACTTGGCATTGTTTCTAAGTTGAATGGCCCAGGGCTGTGTTATTTGTCTGTTTTCTGAAGGACCATACATTGTTTCTAAGTTGAATGACCTGGTTGCTGTGTTTATATATGAGGGTTTGCTTGGATGATCTCTGGGACCAAGCATTGTTTCTAAGTGAATGACTTGGTCTGTCTGTTTCTTTTGGGTTTTCTGACTGAAGTTTGACTAAAAAATTCAACTTCATGCTTTGAATGATTTTAGGATAGGTTGAACATTGTTTCTAAGCTGAATGATTCAGTTTTTTGTTTATTTTTTAGGGAGGATTTCTGGTCTAAGGCTAAGCATTGTTTCTAAGCCGAATGGTTTAGCTTGAAAACCACGCACATAAGTATAAGCTGAGTATAAACAGGAAGTATTTTATCTATACTCACATGCGAACTGACAGTTGGACATTGTTTTTAAGTTGAATGGTCCAACACTAAGCCATATCACTAAGAAGAGAAGGGAAAGTGCTAAGTATAATTGAAAATAATATGGGCAAGTTCATCATTGTTTCTAAGTTGAATGGCTCAGTCCCCTGCCCATATTTTCATTTTCTTTTAAAAAACAAAGTTAGAAAATTACTAGATTTTGAATATTAAACAATTCAAGGCGACTAGGCATTGTTTCTAAGCTGAATGGTCTAGTCATTTGTCAAAAGAAGAGAAAAGTAGTTGTGCAACCTGTTTGTGTATATCGTAAAGGCATACGAGACATTGTTTCTAAGCTGAATGGTCTAGCATTACGCCATATGTAAGTTGGGTGGGTATAAGGATTAAAGCATCTGGAAGATTCATGAACTATCTATGAGGATTTTGACTTAGGGATGGTGAAAGTGCTTACTCTTTCTGGTTTTGGCCTGCATGTGGCTGAATGAGATTATTTACTTAGTCTAAGTTTCAGTTGATAGGTAGTTGCATTAGTTGCTCGCCATGTGCTCGAATCATAGGAGTTAGTTTCAAATCCTTGCATTTTCTGAGTAAAGTTTATTTTACTTAGGTCAATTTCTGCATTTTCTTGGATCTTTGATTATACTTGGTCTTGTATAAATCTTGGTAAGCCACTTTCTCTAAGGAAAGCGCTGCCGAAATTTTTACAAAACCGAAAAGTTAGTCACATTTTGTCTTTTCAAAGTTCAGTTTGTCTGACCTTTTGACTTATTAAAAATCTGAAAAGTTCATTTTCTAAAGGGAGTGCTGCCCAAATTTTTGCTACTTCAAGGAGTTATACAAAAATGGGACCTTAAGAAGTCAAAGTCACTTCAGATTTTGAACTTAGCTTTGTAAAAATTTTGGATTAACGCTCTTCCAAAGGGAGTGCTGCCGAAATTTATATAAATCCAAGGAGTTAGTTAAATTTTGTCTTAGTCGAACTCGGATTTTGCTCCGGGTTCATATATGGCTTAGTAAAAATTTGGAAAATCTTTTTTTCTAAAGGGAGTGCTGTGCGACTTACCTGTGGCTTGTGCGCGCACGTTGCCCAAATTTCTACTAATTCAGGGAGTTAGACAAAATTTGACTTTTTGGAATTAAAGTTTGTTTTTGTTTTCATAAATTGAGTTACTAAAAATTCTGGAATGACAATTTTCCTACGGGAAGTGCTGCCGAAATTTTCTTAGTTTAGAGGAGATAGTTTATATTTTGACAGGTGGCGATTCTGGCAATCCACCCTGGATAGGGGAGATGCTGCCATAGGTCTGCCTTGCGTTGAGGCACTTGGTTAGGCCTAGGCTTAGCTTGTAGAAGGATCTTGGATGAGAATGTGTTATGGAGCTGTATTCTCCATACACTTATGATTTTAACTTGGGGATTGACGTGTCTTATGTTATAGGTATTCTTGATTGATTGATTCGGAATTTGGGCTAGATTCAGTTTGATCCTACAAGGATCATCTTCTGTTATCATTGATAACAGGTCGATTGCCGATTCGTCGGTCTACGACTCAACTCCAATTCACCCTCATAGTCAACCTAAAAGGCTTTAGCCCTGGTGATGTTTTTTTTTTGTTTTATTAAGGTTTTTCACCCGAACTTTTATTGAATGATCATTTAAACAAAGGTACTGAGTATTTAATTATGGTTGGTTGGACAGAGGTTGAGGCTTGCATGGCTAAAGTGAGGGGTATGAGTATAGAGGTTGGTTAAAGTTGACTTTGTGTAATGCGTGGACTTTGATTGACTCTTTGATGTGATTGCAGGTATGTTCTGTGGTTCGGATTTTGGATTTGACTGTCTGCGATCACACACATATATACGGCTGTGAGGAGTCCCACTGCGATTGTAAGAAGTGATCGTTACATACTTATTCCACCTTTACATGTATATATGTATGTACCTATATTGGGTGTCCGCGTGGCCCGAGGGGCCCACGCTTAAGGGTTTAACCGAGGTTGAGGCTGAGAAAGAAAATGAACCCCCTCTATTTATTGTATGTTTCTTAAAGATTTTTCTTAATCAGACGTTGGTCCTGAGCGGGGATTCAAGGGCCTTATTCAGAACATCCGAGATCCTAGACTCTGCATGGAAGAGATCGCCCCCCTCGCAGAGCCTATTTACCCTGTTAACCGGGACATTCGGCCTAAAGGCCAGAGCTGCCGCGGAGGCCGCACGACTGTTCCTTCAGCCGTGCAATATCGTTAAGGGGTAAACCTTCACGATACTTCGAGTCTGACACTTGAGTGTCATAAGCGGTACTCGGATCCATGAGGGACCGCTTGATTATGGGCACTACATAGTACGTCATAATTACGACTGCTTGTGTATTCATGCATTGCTAGTCGATACGAGTTAGCCATGCGTCCGAGCGATTTTATACTAAGTCTCGCGAGCGACGCCTATCTGATTTCCGCGTTGGGGAGTTATGGGATGGCTACTAAGGGACTAGGAGTGTTGTCTCATTATTTGTTCTGTGTTGTTTTGTGTATATGTATGGGTGTGTGTATTTTTATTTTTATGTTCTTTAGAGTGGTATACGCATGGTGTGTGGGATGCGTCCTAGTCGATCGACGACGAGTCGCGCTTGGGACCTCAGCCCCCCAAGGCGTCGGTTCGCGTGTTGGTCTGATAGAGGTGTAAAAACTGCGCGTACCCCCTATGCTACAGCGTACGAGAAACGCCCTCGGCTGGTCCACCTCTGCGATTGCAGTTGATCAACTTTCGTATTGTGGACTGGTAGCTCGGCGGGGATATGCCCACCGAAGGGAGGTGATAGCTCCCGTAAGGTGGAGGTAAGTCGTACCTCGCGTAAGCCCTATCCTGTCGTAGGGGCTCGCGAGAGGTATGGCTGCCGCACTCGGCTGGAGCGGCTTGCAGAAGCTCCATGTGTATTCGCGACGAGGAAATGAAACAACTCCTGCGTGACGTGGCCGGGAGGGTCCCGCCCTGCCTTGAGCGGTGCCGGACTGATGCGCCCGACAACGGAGACACAAGACAAGACACAACGTACACTACAACATACAGCGACCGTGCAGAACAATACAGTCACCGCCTTTGCTCACTCGATGGGTTGCCAACAATAGTTGGTCACCTACGTTACCTGATCGGATGTCCGGGACCCCCCTGACCGTCCGGGACTGTCCGATCGGACAACCGACCGGTTGTCCGCCGAGGACCCTACGTCTGATCACGAAAATAAAATTATGGGGATCCTTGGGTGTCGTAAGGGTGGATTGTGGGGACGAGGGCGCCGACGGGAAGATTTATTGGAGGCCGGTAGGACCTCCAAAAACGAAAAACAAAACGGTCTAATCTGGGTCGTCAGATCTGCGAGATAAACGACCCAGATTGGGTTATTTTAAAATTCGAAAATGGGGGCCCTGGTGTTTTCCCCCGTGCTCGGTGTTGCCATTGCCGAGCTTCGACGTCGACGACCACAACCCCACACGCCATCGCCTGCCCACGCCAGGTGAGCGACAAAAACGAAAAACAAAACGGTCTAATCTGGGTCGTCAGATCTGCGAGATAAACGACCCAGATTGGGTTATTTTAAAATTCGAAAATGGGGGCCCTGGTGTTTTCCCCCGTGCTCGGTGTTGCCATTGCCGAGCTTCGACGTCGACGACCACAACCCCACACGCCATCGCCTGCCCACGCCAGGTGAGCGACAAAAACGAAAAACAAAACGGTCTAATCTGGGTCGTCAGATCTGCGAGATAAACGACCCAGATTGGGTTATTTTAAAATTCGAAAATGGGGGCCCTGGTGTTTTTCCCCGTGCTCGGTGTTGCCATTGCCGAGCTTCGACGTCGACGACCACAACCCCACACGCCATCGCCTGCCCACGCCAGGTGAGCGACCTTCCCTTCGTCCACCTCCTCCCTCCTTCTCCCCCTCCTCTTCCTCGTCCTCCTTCCGCTTCTCCTATCTTCCTCCTGCCGCTTCTCTCTTGGTCCTCCTCCTTTTCGTCTTGTTCCTTCTCGTCGTCCTCCTCATTGTCGCCGTCGTCCTTCTCCTCCTCCACCTCCTCGTCCTGTTTCTCCTCCTCCTCCTCCTCCTCTTCTTCCTCCTCCTCCGTCGCCGTGACCTCCTCTTCCTCCACCTCCTCCTCCTCCTCCTCCTCCATTATCGGGCCCTCCTCTTCTTCCTCCTCCTCCTCCTCATTGTCCTCCTCGTCGTCCTCCTCATTGTCCTCCTCGTCGTCCTCCTCATTGTCGTCCTCCTCCTCCTCCTCCTCCTTTGTCGTCGTCCTCTTCGTCTTCCTCCTCGTCCTTCTCCATCGCCACGGCCTCCTCCTCCCCCGCTTCTTCTTTTTCCTCCTCGTCCCGCCAGTCCCTGTCCCCCTACTCGTTGTTCTCGGCCCCATCATCACTGATTCGATAACGGCCTCCTCCTCCCCCGTTTTTTTTTTCTTTTCTTTTTTGGTCCGATCAATCAATCAATCAGTTAATCAATCGATCAATTAATTGATCGATCGAAAATCCCATTGAATCTATTGATTCGATAGGATCTTGATCACTACATATGTAACTATCCCTAATTTCCTGCCTGTGACAAGCCGGGCCCTCCGATTTTTTGCTGCACGACGGTCCCGATTGTCGGCTGATCGTTTTTCTTAGAAGTTGAAACGTCGCCAGGGCCAGTACCGGTTCCGCATGCCAGTGCCGGCACCACGCTTGGTACCGGGCCCGCTCACCGGAGCCGGTACCACCACACAAGGTACTGGCCCTCGCTCTAGCACCGGTACTGTCGGACGTTGCCGGCCCAGCGCCAGGCGGCCACAGGTAACAAACTTTTCCGATTTCGGGAGGAGGTGCGGGAGAAACCCCGTGGCCCAACGCCACACCTGCCCTCCAATCGACTTTCGACTTTTCATACCTAGGCTGCAGCGCTCGACGCCGACTGACTTCTACCGACTTTCGACTTTTCATACCTACATAGGCTGCAGCGCTCGACGCCGACTGACTTCTACCG